AACCTCATGACAACTGTCCAAATAATCCTAGGGATCCTCAGAAGATATACCACCAAAAGTAGTAGTAAAAAGCTTGGACAAGGTCACTAGTCTGTGCCACAACACCTGGCTAAACTACCCCAACTGGCTGAGCTGTTGGAGTCTGAAACTGGGGAGCCATTTGCTCCGAAGTTCGAGCAGAGGAGTCTAGGCTCCTCCTCCAGCCTAAGAGATGGCTGGTGCTATAAGAAGCAAGCCTGCCTGGGAGACACTCTCCATAAGGCCCACTAGTCGGACCAGAGAATCCTGAAGTACCGTGGTGGCGATGAACACCTTTGGGACCTGAGCTGGTCCTGCTGGAACTGTCTGGGATGGAACCTCATCATCAAACTCAACCTGAGGCTCCGCTGCTAGTGCTGCTGCTCGAGCTCCGGGCTGAGCTCTACCTCTACATTAGGCCCTATCACGGCCTCGGCCTCTGCCCCTCGCAGGAGCTGCTATTGGGGGCTTGGGCTGCTGGTCAGCTGATGAAGCGGTATGTGTCCTCACTATCTGCAAAAGAATATAGTGGAAGTTCAATTAGCATTGAGAAATCAAGTCGCAAGATAGGAAAGAATGGATGTGAAGTTTTTCCTAACTCTGTAGCCTTTGGGGGATAAACACAGACATCTCTGTACCGATCCTTCAGACTCTACTAAGCTTGTCCGTGAATTGTAATACCTAGGCAACCTAGAGCTCTGATGCCAACATGTCACGACCCAGATTTTCCACCCTCGGGAGTCGTGATGGTGCCTACTCGTGAAAGTTAGGAAAGCCGAGTATTACCGATTTTATTACCCTTTTTCCTTAAATTTTTAATAGTTATGAATTAACATGTGATCAACAATGGAATACTCATAATAATCAGAATTGCGGAAGAAAAAAATTAATAGTTTAACCAAATACTAGTACAAAATCCAACATACTACTCTACCCAGAATTGGTGTCACAATGTCATGGACCCTCTACGAATTCTACGAACAGCGGTCTGAATAAAAATACAAATTTGTCTCTAAAATACATAAAAACAGAATGGAAAGATAGAAGGGGATGCCAAGACCTGCGGACGTTTGCAGGACTACCTCGGGTCTCTGCCACTGGACTGAAGGCAACAACCTCACTCTAGTCCAAAAGCTCCAGAATCGGGATCTGCACACAGTGCAATGTATAATATCAGCACAACCGACCCCATGTGTTGGTAAGTGTCGAGCCTAACCTCAGTGAAGTAGTGACGAGGCTAGGACAAGACTACCAAATAAACCTATGCAGTTATATCATACACAACAAATAATAAAAACAGAAACTAGTAGTTAAAGATGGGAAGGGGGAACATGCTGCGGGGGATAACAAGTACTAATAGAATTTCAGTAGAGAGGCACAAAGAACACCATAAATCAATTATGAACAAGAATAAGGAAAACAGTAACAAGTGCACGGCATCACCCTTCGTGCTTCTACTCTCGTCCTCACCATAAGAATCAATAGATTCGACACGACATCATCCTTCGTGCTTTTACCTCACATAATTATGGCACGAAATTATTCTCCATGCATTATCACTCATATCATGGCACGACATCGCCTTTCGTACTTTTACATTTACAATATCGGCACGTCATCACCCTTCGTGCATTAACACTCACTCACAAATATCACGCACAACATCATCCTTCGTGCTTTTACACTCTTCCATACCCAAGCAACAATCACAAAGCAATTCAGGCAAGATTATCAATAAAATCACAATAGAATCCCGGCAAGGGAACAATAGTATAACAATAATATCCCGGAAAGGGAAATAATATCATAAGCAATAACATCCCGGCAAGGGAAACAATATCATAAGCAATAACATCCAGGTAAGGGAAACAATATCATAAACGTCTTCTCTTTTCCACAATCACTTCACAACACAATTCTCAACTTGAGCCAATGCTCTACAATGTTCAATTACCAAGAATACTTCTATAAGTCTTGTTCAACATTAGAAATCATCATATTAAGCGGAAAATACATAACGGAGTTACAACAATCATAGTATAAGACTCACGGGCATGCTTGATACAAACATATAGCTAGATACTTGTCACCATACCTATACGTCGTACTCAACAATTAACACATAGAAAATAAGACTACAACTCATATTCCCTCAAGCTAAGGTTAGACCAAACACTTACCTCAATGCCACGAACACAATCAAGCCTCAACTACCGCTTTACCTCTTGATTCCACCATCAACATGCTTGTATCTAGCCATAATTTACTTAATAACATTAATAAATACTAAATAAACCAATTCTAATGCATGAAAATAGGTTTTCTAATGATTTCTCCAAAAAGGTCAAAAATCGACCCCTGGCCCGCTTGGTCAAAATATGAGATTCGAACCAAAACTCGATTACCCATTCCCCACGAACTCAAATATATAATTTGTGTTGAAATCGGACCTCAAATCGAGGTCCAAATCCCTAAAATTTGAAAATCCTAAGTTCTACCCAAAATCACCCAATTTCCCACGAAAAACCCTTGATTTTGAAATAAAATCATGTAAAAAGATGGATTAGATTGAAAAATATGAGTTAAAAATGACTTACTATTGATTTGGAAGAGTTGGTGCCTTCAAAAAATTGCCCAAGATGTTTTAGGGTTTGAAGGAGTTTGGAAAATGGGGAATAATCCCATCAAAATTTCATTTAGCAGGTCTCAGTTGTCGCAATTGCGACAAGGGTTCGCAATTGTGAACCTCTTTGGAAACTTGTTGTGTTCGCAAATGCAAAGAAACTATCGCATTTGTGACCCCTGCTAAATTTAGCCATCATCGCAATTGCGAAGGAAATGCCGCATTTGCGATGGGGTGTGCTTCGCAATTCCCAGCCCAGTGTTCGCATTTGCGAAAAGGGCTTACCTAGGCTTGGTTTGCATTTGCGACAGTGGGGTCGCATTTACCAAGTATGTCCACTTCGCAATTGCGAAGCCTGATCTTTCAATTGTGAGATCAGAGGCCTGGGCAAAAATACGAGGTACCAGAAAATTTTCCTAAGTCCAATTTCACTCGGGGCTCCAAACCAAACATGCACGCAAGTCCAAAAACATCATACGCACTTGCTCGTGCTATCAAATCATTAAGATAATCTCAACAACTATGAATTAAACCTCAAATTCATGAAATCACTCAAGAACATTGAAATTTCTATTTTCTCAACTATAGGTCCGTTTTATACCAAATCAATTTTGATCATTACCAAATTTCACATATCCAACTTAATTATTAATTTAAACTTGTACTGGGCTCCGAAACCAAGATACGGGCACGATACCATCAATAAATTACATCAATTCACTTCTAAAAGCCTTTATTTTTTCTAGCGAACAATTTTCATTAAAAATTCTTTTCTTGGGCGTGGGACCTCAGAATTCGATTCTGGGCATACACCCAAGTCCATATATTACCACGGACCCTACGAGACCGTCGGATCACGGGTTCGGGTCCGGGTACGTTTACCAAAAATGTTAACCAACGTCAACTTTAATCCATTTTAAAGGTCAATTTTCTTATTTTACTTAGATTTCACATAAAATCTTTTCGGAAATGCGCCCAGACTGCGCACGCAAATTGAGGTAAGACAAAAAGAGGTTTTTAAGGCCTCGGAACGCAGAATTTACTTTCAAAACAATACGACTTTGGAGTAGAGAGATATTCGCATTTTAGTGACATTGCGCCAAACAGCTCTCTATGGGTCCTACATAGGCATTTAGATATGTTGATATATATAGATGCCTCAACCCCATTTGAACTCATTCATTTTTAGTATCTTCAGACCCTAGACACCAAAAATAACTCTCTCAAGGTTCTCTCATGATCCAAGACCCAAAAAAGGGCAAACAACACAAATCTAGTGTCGGGAATCCCATCGCGCTAGTAAGTTTCTTGTTTCTCTTGGTGTTGCTGATTTTTGGGTGGTTCCAACTCGTGGGGGAGGTTTTTTTAGTGGATTATGTTATGTAAAATACTCTCCCATGGTTTTTATATCAATCCTAGGTTATTTCAAGTCTAGCAAATGGATTACACCATATTTCAACATCAAAAGTTAGGTCTAGTGAAGAATAACATCTCTTTGAGGTTGTGTCGTCATTGAGGATAGTTGTGGATGTGTTTTGCTGAAATTTCAAGTTGTTGCTACTGCCTAAGGTGAGTGTAACAGCCTACTAATTGTTTTAAGCTTGCTTGTATGTTGGTTATGCTGTTACGATGATAAACTACAAGATAATACTTGAATTAGCCATTACTAGAAACACATGGTTTTCCCACGGCGAAATCAGTGGAAAACTGGTGGAAAAATCGAGTTTTCCCACTGCACTCTCACTGAAACAGATTACCGGAAATATCTTCCCAGAGAAGAGGTGGGAAATTTCCCACGGTTTTCCCAGCGAAGAATTAATATGAAATAAAGAAGTTTCCCACCACCAATCAGTGGGAAATATTATTAGTAACTTTTATTAATTTTAATACATTAGCGAGGGAAATGGTGGGAAAATGCATGGGGATCTGAAAATAAAGTATGAGCTTTTCCGCTAATAACCGTGGGAAATATGCAAATGCAGAAAAATAGAGTATGAACTTTTCCACAAGTATCTGTGTGAAATATGTAAATTATGAAAATAAAAGTATGAACTCTCCCATTGATATCAGTGGGATAAATGCAAATTCTTAAAAAACGTATGAACAATCCCACCGATATCAGTGGGAAATATACAAGTTCTGTAACTAAATTGATGAACCTTCCCACGGATTCAGTGGGAAGTGCACGGGAAATCTAGAATTTTTTTGTGCATAATGCTGCTTTTTATACTGCACCACCTACAAACAAAAAATACCACTAACAACCTAAATATAATTAAACATTCACACACAAAATTCAGTATCTCCCGATCTATTTCATTAACAACCAACCAAAACTGAAAATACTAGAAACCAATAATGCAACTAAACATTCAAATAAGAAATTCAGCATTTAATCTTATCCAATTGATACATAATATCCAACATCCTAGTCCCACCCAAAATTAGATTAATAAAAAAAAACTACTCCTTAGTATTGTTAGAGCGTGATGTAGAACGTGGTAAAGGAATGCACCAGATGCTAAGAGGGAGTTTAGCTGGGCCTTGAGGCTTTCAATGTCACTAGTGACACGTGCAAATGCACCATCCTTTTGCCTCATTTCATCCTCCCTCCGCCTCTCCTCTTCCTCCCTCCCCTATCTTCTTCCTCCCTTTGCTTTGCCTCCTCCTCCCGCGCAGCTCTTTCCTGTGCATACAACTAAGTGATCTATGATATTCTTCTATTCAATAGCTCAAACTTATTCTGATTAATCGAGGACCTTGAGGAAGATGAGCCACCAGAAGACCGACGGCTAGAACTAAACTCTGATCCAAGGCCGTAAACTCTTCCCTTGTGTACGCCACCAGCCGCCTTAATCCACAAGTCCATATAATTCTCATGCGATGGTTGGATTGGCTTTCCTTGATCATCAGTTGGTTGGCTTTGAATGAACTCATACAAGGATTGTTTGCAAGTATTCTGCAAAAAAATTACAACTATTATATGAACAAATTTAATTAATAAAAAATATTAAAAAGTAACTTGAAATCTTACCTAGGTTGTCTCGGCTCGCGGCTCGATCCCAATTGTCTTTGTTCCATCCTTTAGCTTCTTCATATGTGTATACTCAAATACCTCATCTTGAGTAGCTGGTCTTTTTAAAAACTTTTCCTGTTAAATACATTATCAGTTACAACTCGTGAGTCAATGTGGAAGCACTGATTATGTGTCCTACAATTTGTTGCAAGAATAACTATTGAAGCAGAATTTGACATCCACGTCAAAGCAAGTAATTTAAACTTTTCTATTTGGCTTAAGTTTTTTTGTCTCTTTCAAGATCATACTGTTTTAGATCACAGCTTAAATTTTAGGATATTTCATAGCTAAATTTTGATGCAAGTCAAGCTTTCTTTCTGCAAACTGAAGGAAGCGCAACCTCAAAAGATTAGCATGTTGCTCATCAGTTAAGGACCTTCTTTAATGTGAAATATAATGCAGGGGCCATGAATTTGGAATGGTCAAAAAATGGAAATTGCTTCAATGAATTTGAGCATGTACCTATAGAAGATTATAGAGGAAGTAATCAAACTAGAAGACGATGAAAATAGTAGTTTAGCAAAGTCTGCAGTAGAGGAATTAAGTATAAGACATATGAATGTTGAAGAAATACGCAGCTCTCGGATTTCAGAAAAGATGATCATTCAAGTACCTATTAAAAACCAAATCTTTCTCAAAGTGGAAATAGTTTCTTCCTTTTCTGCAGAATGTAAGATTAATGAATTCTTAGGTAAAGAAACAAAAAACAGATTCTAATACACAAGCAAATCAACATGTCAATAGATGGACCAATCTATTTTTACAAAAAAAAAACCGATTCTAATACACAAAATATTCAAAATACAAACTTTTGGAACTACTCATTAGTATGAAATGATACAATGAAGATAAGATAGTAATTCAAAAAAATAAAACAATTTGTGTAAGTACTAACAACAACAACAACAAATATTATCAATATACTAAATATGTCTAAGTACTAAATATTATCAATCTACTGACCAGCTAAGGCATTTGTTTGGCAATGACAACCAATTCAACTAAAACTTCTGACATACCAAATAAGATATGTTTTCCAGATGCACACTCAGGTCTTAGGATCAAAATGAGCAAAAGTAGTTTACTCAACCCAAAAAATGAAAGATCAAAAACAAAGATAAGACACCTCTTGCTTCATGATTTATATTTGTCTTTCATGGAAACAACATATTGGAGAGAAAAACAGTAATGGTTTCTAACGCATAACTGCAGATCAAAGGGGAATTGCCATACAAGATATCCACGAAACGTCTGTCCATAATACTAAAGACTCTATCAGTCATTAGACTCCTAGTTTTATGCAAGATGCTTGTGCTATGCCAGAGGAAGATGCCAGGACTAGACTAGTATAATAAACACATACCAACGTCCTATACATAATGGAGTAGATTCAGATGAAGGCATGAAAGAGTGCTTTGTAGGCCGACTAGAAGATGTGGGCATGCTAGGGGAAGAATAAGAGGGTATGCCGGGGGAAGATGATAAAGGAATAACGGGAGACGATGATGTTTGAATGCCATGGGATGGAATGACTGGAGTAAATGATGGGTGTATGCCAGGTCTAGGTGTAGGCATAGATGGGCAAGCAGGTCTAGATTAAAACGTCCCATTTATGTTTTGGGAAGACATATGATGATAGTAAGGGCCAGAGGATGGAGTAGTATACCCTAGGCATGGTATAGAGTATGAGGGAGGTGGAACTAAAGACGGACATGTAGGTGGAGGCACATGCGGACCAGAAGGTGCAGGTGGTGGAGGGGTAGGGAGATGACCTAAGTTACGTGAAACTTGTTTCTTCTTCTTTATTTACCTCCAGCAGCCATCTGAATAATACAAGCATAAGAAAAAAATAGCATGTTAATTCTCTTAGCAATAAATTTAAAAGCATAATTACCACATAAGTTAGAAAAAACAAATATGTCAATTATTATCATCGCTTGTTTCATTTTCATCATCCATTCCATCGTCATCGCTTGGTACATTTTCATCATCAGTTTCATCCTCCTCGCTTGTTTCATTTTCATCATCCATTCCATCGTCATCGCTTGGTACATTTTCATCATCAGTTTCATCCTCCTCGCTTGTTTCATTTTCATCAGAAAATTCTTCCTTCTCAATGAATTCATTTTCATCACCTGAATCTTCCTCCGCATTGGCCATAGATGTCCCAATTTCATAATTTTGTTCAACTGACAGATCAACTTCTTCGTATATGCCTTCACTATGCAGCTCATATTCTTATTTATTATCCACAATTTGTTGAACACTTGATCTATCATTTGGGTACGCTACAACCAGTGAATCCTCAACTTCCACTCTTCCAACTAGCTTAGTTTTAATAACTACCCACATTTCATTCATATTTTTACACGTCGATGGTAAGGAGCGTAATATACTTGCTTCACATTTTGTGCTATAACAAATCGATCATAGCTTTCGTACTCCTTGGCGTGCTTAACTTCTACTATTTTGTATTGTGGGTGTACCTTGGTACCTCTATTTGGTGTGGGATCAAACCACTTGCATCGAAAAAGTACCAATCGTTTCTTTGGCCAACCAACATACTTTATTTCTAAAATCTCTTGGAGCACACCATAATAATCAATATCCCCACCTTGGTTACCATCACCACCTTTCACCCATGCCCCACTATTAATGGTTTTCTCATTCTTAGACCATTCTTCCGTATGAAACTTGTATCCATTGATAAAATACGTAGATATGATTTTGACTTGTGCGGTAGGACCCAAGCTATATCACGCAAAAAAGGATCACATATACCATTTTTTGGATTATGAACCTATATAGAGTTGAAGAAAATCAAGAAGTTAGAAAATCATATAGTGTGTAAATAATAAAAAATTTGTTACATATTAATTAGCACATACGTATTCTCAAAACCACTCTGAAAATCTAGGATAAACATCAGCATGGCCGAACTGACTCACAAAGTAATTGTCAGACATTTTATAATTTTTATTAGTTAAACGAAGAATAGATTATGCACATATGACAATAGTATATTTTTAAACCTACTTGTAAAATTGTTGAACTTCAGGGCAATTCAGTGTAACGGTCCGACCGATCGTTTTGAGCTTTTACATTTTTCTCACAAGTCCTCGGGCATGACTAGCCCCGTGTGATATATTATGACTTATGTAAATTGTGGGTTTTGGTTTTCAGGATAATCGGAATAGATTTGGAAGAACAATTCTTAGATTGAAGCTTTAAATTTGAAAGGTTTGACCAAGGTTTGACTTTTTAGTATTCGATCTCGAATTTGGATTTTAATAATTTGTTAGCTCTGTTAGGTGATTTTGGACTTGAGAGCGCGTCCGGAATATATTTTGGAGGTCTGTGGTAGATTTAGGCTTGAATTGGCGAAATTAGAAATTTGGCATTTTCCGGTCGGCAGTGAAAATTTTGATATCGGGGTCGGAATGGAATTCTGAAAAATGGAGTAGGTTCGTTTGTATCATTTGTGATGTGTGTACAAAATTTCAGGTCATCCGGATGAGGTTTGATAGACTTTTTGATCGAACGAGGAATTTGGAAGTTTTGAAATTCTTAGGCTTGAATCCGAGGGTAATTCGATGTTTTGATGTTATTTTGAGCATTCTGAAGGATGGTACAAGTTTGAATGATGTTATGGGATGTGTTGGCACATTTGTTTGAGATCCCGAGGGCCTCGGGCATGTTTTAGATGCTTAACGGGTTATCTTTGGACTTGAAAGGCTGGCAGATTTTGCTGGTATTTTGTAGCAGACAGTTTGCTCTTTGCGTTCGCGGTCATGGACTCGCGTTCGTGAAGAGTGTTCTCTGATGTGGTGAATTATGTTCTTCGCATTTGCGCTTTGGGTGTCACGTTCGCGATGTGTTGATGCTATGTTCTTCGCGTTCGCACTTTGGTGGTCGTGTTCGCGTAGTTATGTCTCCAGAGGTTTCGCGTTTGCGAGGCTTGTGTCGCGAACGCGTAGAGCATTTTTTTGGGAGCCGATATTTTCTTCATTGTGGACGCGATAGTTGTCTCGCGTTAGCGAAATAGGAAGCCTGGGTAGCTTTATAAAGTACTCTATTTCGAGGATTTCGGCCATTTTTGCATTTTTGGAGCTATGGAGCTCGAGAGAAGACGATTTTGGAGGGGATTTTCATAGGATTGATTGGGATAAGTGTTCTTCACCCAAATTCGGTTGAATACCATGATTTTGCCTTAATTTTTATCATTTAATTTGTGAATTTGGGATGAAAATTGGAAGAAAAATTGGAGGGTTGAATTGGGGATTTGAGGGGCCATTTGAGGTCCAAAATTTATCGGATTTCTAGACGTTGGCCCGGGGGTCGGGTTTGTCCATTTTCGAGATTTTTGAGTTAATTTAATTATTTCCGCTTTGTCTTTGTTCCTTTAGCGTGTATTAATGACGTGGAACTGATTTTGGTTAGATTCAGAGAATTTGGAGACCGATTCGAGAGGCAATGGCATCGCGTGCTAGAGTTTGGACCGGATTAAGGTAAGTAATGATTGTAAATGTTGTTCTGAGGGTATGAAACCCCGGATTTCAAATTGTTGTGCTACTTTGAGGTGACGTACACCCTAGATGACGAGCGTGGGGTTGTGCACCTTTGGGGATTGTGACTTAGTCCGTCCCGTATGACTATTAAGTCGTGTATTTGATTGAAATTTGTTTGACATCATAGTGTTTTCGAAAGTATTACCATGTTTTGGGCTGAATGCCATATTTGGGCATCGTGCCGACTGTTTTGGACTCTTAGGGGATTTTCACTACTATTCCTCACTATTTTGACTTCATATTTGTACTCAGTCATGTTGTATTCTACCGTTTTAATAACTCAGTCTTATTTACTCCGTTTTGATATTTTAAATGATATTTTGGGATAAGCATCATGTTTTACCGTTGCCCGAGTAGCTTGAGAGATTTCTGACTGAGTGAGTTTGATGGCCTGTATTGTGAGGATATTTTGGGATCGGGCTGTGCGCTGCAACATGTGGTTACTGATTCATGATTATGAGGCCGAGGGCCTGATTTGTTATGCCACGAGGTAGCTTGTAATGAGGT